GCCACAGCCGCTACTTTTGCACCAATGGCGCTGTTGACGTCGTGGAGCTCTGTTAATGCACCTGCACCCACCACCATTGGCAAGTCGAGTGATTTGGCCTCCAAGGGCCTCTTCTACTGCTGTCTTTTGCTTCACGTGACGGCCAGTGAATTGCCCTTTTTAGGTGATGTCGTCAATTTTTTTCTTCGGCCGTCTCATGGCTGCTTTTTCGGGTGTTCGTTGGGTATATCATAAAGTTGTTCGTTTTATATTTTGTGTATATTTGCCCAATTTCTCAAAATTTTTAATTGTTATTGAAGTGTCTTCTTATTTAATTATTGTCCAGCATATTTCTTTGATTTTTTAGTTTCCTCTTCCTGAGACCATTGGTTTTTGAATCTAAAATATTAAAGGAAATATTTATTAGTTCATTGATTTGCCTTAGATATAGGCTCTTATCCGTAGACGATCTCATGGTTAATTTTAAAAAAATCTGTTTTTGGTAGTCACATCTTTATTTAAATGCATGTAGATTAGATTCATTTGTCACAAGGGGGTTATCCGAAATACCATGCCTTTTTTTTCTTCTTTACTTATAGTTTATTGGTTCACTTATTCTCTTTGCTCTCATTGGTTTTTTGAACCTCGTCATTCTTTGTTCTTTGACAATTCCTCATCTGATCTAAAGCAGCGTTTCAGGAACCTGTCTTAGATAATTAACCAATCAAGACAATTTCATCGTTTCCGAATATACGACTAGCTCAGAATCCTACGATATGCAAATATTTTAATGATTCCAGGCACATGCTCTTTGGAACATTCGCTGGTTTTTTACTTAGACATTGGTTGAGAGTCTTAGGGCGCTCGTAGATCCTAGTAAAGTTAAATTAGACAGGTTGTTTTTTATGAAATGGTCCAGATCACGGCACTCAACTTTACCTACGAATTGGACAACATGCAGGTATTTAGTGCGAACAACGCGTTTGTGCAGCAATACTCCGACGGGGATTGGTTCAAAATTGACCAATAAAAAGGCCGTAAGCGCCGCGCACACAACAGGAACCGACAACACTCCACAGCCTTGATTAACTTACGATTGTCTGTTGGTTGAAGCGGCCGCGACTCTTTAGGCTGTACGTTCTATTCCGTATTCTATCAAATTCGCTCACACTTTGCTAAAACAAGGAATTTTGTGGAGTTAACAATTACGACAATTCAATCTCATGATTTGTGAACTCGACATGTGCGAACGAAAAACTTTTAGTAAACACTGGATGAGATTTAATGCGGAGAGACACACGTTTTCCTTTCATATTCTTGGTCAGCCATCCTCCGAAATTGCACATTTTTTTAGAATCAATAAATCGGACCTGATAAACACAATCAATAATTTCCATGCAAAAGCAACTAAGAGACAATGTGTTGATTGGTTTTTTGCATTGAGCTTTGCTGAGTGTGCGAATCAGGCCAGTAAAACGCTTGAACCTCCACTGAGGAGGTTGTCACAGGACCATTTCCGACGTCTCCATCAAGAGGAACATGATAACGACGCTTCTTGAGATGGTGCGAATTTTCGGAATTACCTGTGAATTATCAGTCGCTGGTTCCGAGGGGATTTTAAACCGAGTCAGTCGTTTGCCACTCGCCCGCATAGACCGAGCCACCTGCGCTACCTGAAGTCGAAACAAGAATCAAGCTATTTTGGCGTTTTAAAATCGTCTACTAACTACAATTAAGTAGGTGGTCTTGGTTTTCAAAACTAACACGCTTGTCTTGAGTTACCAATGCTCTGATTGGTCAGTGTTGTCCGACCATTAAAAGTTGTGAATCGTACCTCATTGGCTGAGCGCACACTGGATAGGCGACTTGAGGCACGGTTGAAGCTCGGCTCAACGTAGATTCGGGGGTCGTGCTTGGGAATGATCGTCTCGTTTATGTACGCATCGCCAGCTAGCGGTTGTCTGTCTGTGGCGAACGATGATGGGCCTTGTTCACTCTACAAGTAGCAAGAAATGACTCCCCCCTCCAACTTCGACTTACCACAATGTCGGCCGACCTAGGGTCGTAGGTTACCACGTCAACTGAGGAAACGTCCCCGTTTTCTGACACATCAACTCGCTGTGTCTGTTGGTGTTGTTGATGCTCCATCTGTTGCAGACGCTGTCTTTCGATGTGGTCGATGGCTCTTTGTGATCTAAGACTTCCAGTGCTTCGGCGCATCGTTGAAGCCTCCTGGACAGCCATTTCTCGGTACGGTCGTCGTGAAAAGCAACATGGAAGGTCATCTTCGGTGGGACAATTCCATGCCTCCTTCAAAAGCTTCCCTCCTCTCTCCCTAATCAATACAATTAGGATTAAATAGTTCCCATTTACAGAAACTGCTGTGGTTCAATTGAATTTTGTGAAAACTCATTCACTCCTTCCATTATGAGTTGTAAATAGAACTACGACTGACACAGGTTTGATATGAAAATGCCTGATGCTATCGATGAGACTGTACTTGTTAGGCATTGCAGTTGTCAACAGACAGAAGACTGAGCCAGTTATAGTTAAGAAAACTGAGCTTAGGAAGGCTGCGCCACGGTGGATGATTCGAATGTGACAGCGTTACCACGACGTTACCTTGGGGAAGCAACTCAGGTGCTAAGTAATCAAGTCCAGTCACCGTCAGACGGCCTATGTGAGTATGACTGGAACTTAACAACAATGACCCACCTGCTTATGCGCGCATGTTAAAAGGCGTTGTCATGGCAACTTGGGCGTATTCGCCTTCCGGCTTATGCAAAATAACCGACTGATGCGTGAGTCGGTGTGCACTGCGTAATTGTTATTTGCGACAACTTCAAACTGCAAGATGTCGAGTTTAAAGCACGTAGTGGAACAACGCGCCGCAAATATAGCAATTGGAATTGGATGGTTGATTGTGAAAATCGACTCATTTAAACAAACTTGACAGATTCGACCAAGTTTAACCTCATTTTATGACAAACTTGGCTACCTAACCACTTTGCAGCTTTAGCGGTTCATCTTTTTCATTTGTCGTGTGATCCACATCTAGCCTCCATTAGGGCAAAAACACCTACGAAAAAATCGATAAGGTGTTTATTAACTTAAATCATTGGAGTTGCTTCGTCTTGATTCGTGGTTTCAAGTCTTTCCGTCTGGAACTAACAAAAGTCATTGTTGAGAGCAAGTGTCATTAACAAAGAGACAAAAAAGATATTTGTTGCATAAGATATGAGTGTATTAAAATAAATGGTTAATTAAATGATTGAGAAAATCCATAATTCTGAGGACTGAAGAGGATTATTTTATGCATTATCGATCCAGATTAACAACGAAATCAATACGGTTGACGGTGCAAGTGTTTGTAGGTCAGTTACTTGAATGGTTTTGATCGCATTTACGTTGACTTTAGTGATGCGCGTTAATAACATGCAAACTTTCCTTATTGATTCCGAAAATATTTCAAAGGAGAGATCGGCAAGACAACATTTAGCCAGGCCTTCAAAACACATAAATGCCATCATTCATTAATTGAGAAGGCGACTTGATACCAAAACATGGGATCGAATGTGCAGGCAGCTTACTTTCTAGGATAGACGCACCAGACAAGAATGTTAAGCGCAATCAGTGTGAACAGGAGAGCGAATGCCTCAAGGCCATAAGACCAGGAGAGATTGGATTGGTCAGTTTCTGCGAGCCAGGTGTCAACCCCACGAGCTCGGGTCTGCTTCTTCTCAAGGTCGACGTTGATCCCAACAAGTCCGAGCACAGTCACCGATATCCAAACTAAAAAGGCGGGGGGGGGGAGGATTAATGGCTGTCGCTTTTGTTGGATAAAATATTTCAATCACAAGTTGAAAGAATCACTAATTCACTTAGTGGTTTTAGCTCTGACAAGTCATAATTAAAATCAAAGTACAGAAGTAGCTGTGGGTGACAATAACAGCACTTGAATGCACATACTACTAATTGTCCCACCATGGACAAAAAGCCAGTTTCAAACGCTGAATAATAAGTAGTGAATCATGCTAATTCACGCCCAATAACCCGGTTGTCTCAGTCCAATACACGCAAAATCCCTTTTCGCGGCATATCCGGCAGTCACGCGTGATCGCCGGCTCATTCATCGCTCTGTATGTACCACCACCACCACCGCCACCACCACCACCCACCCACCCACCACCACCACCCACCCTACCCATGTGACCATTCAGACGTCTTTGTTTTTACTAGTCCACTCAACTGTATCAGTCAACACAACACAACAGCGCGCAGCTGCAGAGTAAACGGTTGTGCCTCATCTTCGCCGGTCTTCTCCATCTTAGCGGGAACTCAGGGTAGCGTAATCGGCCTAGCTTCGACGCAGAGGCCCCGACGTGGTTCAAGACAACATGCAGGAGCCCTCAGCATGGTTTCATGCTCCGATAAATCATAATTGTAATCAAAGTACAGAAAAGTCACTGTAGATGACAATAACAGCACTCTATCGTTAAGTTTACGCTTACTTCAAAAGAAAGGAAGTGTAAAACACACTTACTAACAACTATTGAAAGGTAGATCGACGATAGTACGGTTTTCGGTCGCTGTTTGTCAAGAACATTCAACAACATTGCAAGTCCACATCCAAAAAGAACCGTATAAACAATCATGTTGAGAATTTGCAAGGCCTGTGCAGCGTGAAACCACGCTAAGATCAAATTTTAAATTGCTGCATTAAGCGTACCTGCGAACACTAGCGGCCATAGCGGTCGAATTTTGCTGTCAAAAATGTAGAAGCATCCACTGTAAAAGCGTTGCTGTTCAAGCGGAGAAACAAAATCTTCGAAACAAATTTCCCAAAGACCAAGGCGTAAGAATCTTGTGTTTGCACTAGGATACTTGGCAAACCAATAGGGTAGAATCGTTGCCAAAAATGTGCAAATGAATCCACTTAATAGGATACAAAGGTAGACGTGAAGCAGCTTCTCTTGACAAACCCTATAAATGACAAGTGTCCGAAAAAAAATGAAATACCGTACATTATATATCACGTGAGGTGGCACAGAATGTCTTTAGGAATCGACAAAAATGTTGCGCTGGTGTCATTCCATGAAGTTCAAAGCACGCTGAAGTTAAAAAGAATTAAAAATAAAATGGCATTTAAAAGGAAAATCGAAAGATTGTAAAACAAAGCAATAAATATTGCAAAAAATGTTTTATATCTTATATCGACGTTGTCTAAGTGATGTAATTAATACGTCATGACCTAAACAAGTATTATAATGACAATTATTAACTAAGAGATATATTTGCACCCCAATATAAAAGTGCATTTATCTAGGACCTAACCTAGCAGAACAAAAACTCAAATTATTTGCAAAAAAACGTTAAATCATGTTGTTTTATAATTAATATTGCTAAATTAAGATTTTACTTAAAAATACATCCAAGTACTTCCACATTTGAGGTTTGGAAGGCTGCATTAAAAAACCTAATTGAACTTTTAAAGAATTATAATAATGTTTTTTCAAGTAACGTTTTCCAAACGTAACACATATCTGGTTTATGTTTGAGATGATAAAGCAGAATAAAGTTAAAAAGGAAGCTAAATTTTGACCAAACGCAATGCTACAAGCATAGCTCTGTAAATGAAACACATGGCACTAGTGTAGCAAGACAAATAAATACATACACCCACGTACGAGAATGAAGCGGTAATAAGTCCTTTCACTGTTTGAAATATTACAAGGATATTGCAATAAAAATTGATTAGGACAAACAAGAGAACTGAAACTGTTAACAAAACATCTTTAGCCGCAAAAAAAACAGTTAAATTGCAATTATGACGAAATATTAAATAATTGGAAGAGTGATATAATAAAAAAACGGGTGAAAACGGCAAGTTATAATTCAGATAATTTTCAAATCTTAAATTTAGGAAAGCTGAATGAAATCCCTTGTGATATGTTGCTAGCAACCTCTTTATTTAAATACCCTGCAGATTATTCTTTTAAAGCACAATGGTAGCAGGATATTCAATGAAAGATATGTTTCCTATATAGGTAAATTGTAAGATAACAAAAAATGTATCTGCGTGATATCTAATCAATCAAGAACTTTTTCAGCAATTTTTTTGTCTTTTAAAGTAATGTGTCTTGAACAGTGGATCTATTAATAATTGTGTCTGGTTTTTTATTTACTGTTCATTTCAAGATGTCTCTGTGTCAATGGAATGCCACTTCGTGTACAACTTTAGAAACATTAAATGTAAAAATCTGCTGACTTTGCCTGAAGTCACTTAGATTTGATGTATCGGCAGCCTATTTTGCCTCTTCTTAATTTCCACCTATCCTGGATCTCCGAAATCGATGACAAACATGTATTTTCCATTTTAGTGATTACCCACGTCTAGTGGAGTGACTTTTGATTACCTTGTTTCGTTGACACCTCCTTTAAAATATAAAATTAACAAGTAAACTGGATTACCAGATAATAAACTTGGTCCAACTGAAAACTATGAATCATCGGCTTCTCGAATTTGCCGGTAGATACTCTCAAAAAAAACATATATCTTTCAGTCGGTAGTTTTTACATACATTCAACTTAGTAAGTTATATAAATTTAATAAAGAATGATTTAACAATATTATTGTGAATATTTTGTTTCACATAACCAATAGGTTTGTATCGACGCGTCTCACTTTTTTAAACATGAAAAGAAATGGTTCTGAATATTCATATGATGGTGTTGTGTACAGCGCGTGGACACCTCGTTCGAAAACTAATGTGTCTAAAAGAGTAAGGTATTTTCGGTACTTTCAAAGCTTTAGCTGCACAATGACCGCATGGCACTTATATGCAAATGGGTAGGATATTCCGATTAATTGCTTTAATCGTTCGCTCTTCATAGGTTACTCAGTGGACTTCCCAGGAGAGACTCAAGCTGTTAGAAAAATTAGTCTACATGTCTTCACATGCAGATCTACGCAAAGTATCTCGTATTATCAATGAGATCGTACCGGAATCTGCTGTTGATTTTACTCGAGTACTGCCGCGCGTCCTCTCGTTGTACATATTTTCCTATCTTGATCCACGAAGCCTGTGCCGTGCTGCTCAAGCAAGTTTGAAAGTCATTCATGCAACTTCAAACTAAATGCAGATTATGTTGAAAGTTTTATAGTGCTCTGTTTTACTTTAATTTTAAATCTCTTGTATTGATCACTGGTAAAAAAATTATATTTGTGTTTTGTTAGTCGAACAGATTTGCGTTGTTGCAAGTATATCACTTCTGAGAATTTGATGAAAGTAATTCCAATTCATTAGGATAAATGACATGGCTTATTCTGAATAAACTTTAAAAATTGGTACAACGTATTAGCTAAGACCTACTGTATTATTTTTTTGTCATTTACTGGTGCGAAGGCTGGTGCCATTTAACTTAGAATAAGATTAGAATGAGTTCAGGCTTATGTTTGGTTATCCTGATTCACTTATTAAAAATGCACAATTGACCAGTGTAAACATTCGTTTTTGAATGAAAATCAGCCCTTGCTACTCAACTGTACAAACATCTACCCTTAGTGAAGCAGTTTACCACATCTTATCTTTTAAAAAGGCGCATTTAGCAGAACACCCCTTAGAATTCTCTCAGTTAAGATCAACTGGTACATTCTCACGTAGAAAATGAAGAAATAATTAAATCATGTTTTAAAGTATTGAGCTGTGGTACTTGCACATTAATTAATAAGAAGTAAAATCTAGTCAAAAACAAGTTACCTTTGAAGAGGTTGTGTCAACATTGAAGCAGCCAAACGCAGTATCTGAAGCTCCCACCTTCGGGCGACAGACAGATTGGCCAATTTTCGAAGGAAACGTTCACTATGCGCGGATGTCAAACGCTCTCTGACTGATATATCATAGTTTATCCACACAGGTGTCGTGGTACTGGAAACTGCTTTCTGAGTCAAATTCACTCTGGGCTTTAAAGTGCCAGCAACTCGGCTGGCAGCTTCCAAACCTGGGGATATATCAGGAAAACGGCGTGTGTAAGCGCATTTATATCGAGCACATGCAATATTTACGAGTCAGTCAGTCCCACTTGGTACGTGCCTTTTCAAAATTTTTACCATGAAACTCCTAATGATGGCATTTTAAGAAGCACTTTGTTAATCTTCCCTGCTTTAGATGAATCTAGAATTGAAAGAAGTTAGAAAGAATCTAGCACACGAGGAAAAAAATGACAGGGATAAGGAGGAAAAATCGAGAAGGAAGCAAAGATTGCCAAGCAGAGACAATCAGGTGGCGTGGTCATCTTCAAATGGCCACCAAACTAGCCCATCAAAAATCGTCTTTGGAAAAAGGAGTTCATCGACAATCTCAAAGTCGTGTGAAGGGTACGTGTGCTTTTTCGGCTTAAAATTGTATCGATTCTTCTAAACTAAATTGATGTTGATGAAAAATCAATTCATAATCCGATAGGATTGATCACTAATAAGAGAATGAATGGCGGCTCCTAAAAAAATTTTGATTTATTTGGAAATACTTAATTAGAGGCTATCTTTGATGCATCAGATCGTAGTAAATTTCATAGTTCAAATAAACCTACGACTCACTGTTTCTGATTTTTAGACGATCGATTCCAAAGTCATCAAAAGAGGTGGCTGGGCCAAGTTCTGTCACATCGACGACATCAATGACGACAGGAAGTAAGAACAAAAGGTCTACCATCGCAGCTGTGACAGAACGCCTGTCGGCTCCGCTAGAACGTAGAACCAATTCGGCGGCATACCATCCACCAATTTTGGATATTATCCGCAGTGTTGAACGACTTTACCTGCGGAAATCGACAGAGAACTACAAGACCACCACAGCCATGATTGTGGCCCCTCGCGGTCACAGATTCGTGGCTCTAACACCAGAGGTCAGTGCATTCTGCGAGTTAATGTCAATGGTGTGACACATGATCCGATGGAATAATCACGTGAGGTTAGGAATGTAGAACCAATCATAATCATTTTTACCAACCAATAAGATTTGCAGATTCTAACCAATGAGACTGGCACACCCATGCTTTGGGTATTTCACGTATCTAAAGAAAGTGCGTGTTATTCCCATCACTGACATCAATAAATTGGACGTCATCAAGGGTTGTTGGATGTTGTAGGACGTCAGGGCACTTCCATCACCTCCAGCCTATCGCATCGAAAGGTATGAGGCGAAGGAGTTTGAGGTGCCGCGGAATCCATCAACTCGGCAGGCACAAATCTTCCAGCTGATCAAGGATGTCCCAACGTAGAACAAAGCCTCTGTTCTTCCGACAGAGCAGATTTTCAAAATAATAAGTCTTTCATAAAGTCTTTATCAAATTGCTTGTACCCATACCAAGTCTTATGGAGAGAAACATTTGTGATGAAGATATCCACAATTACTGGGGATTATCTCAGATGCAAAATCCAAATACGACCAAGTTCGTGTCTATTTTAAAAGATAAGTAAGCTCTACCTATTTCATTTAAGTAACATGCTTGTTTAGGTACATAAAAGTGGGTCAGAAAACAACTCGACGACAGGTCGGAACAGACAGCCTACGAATTAGGGTTATTAACGAACCAAGCACCAAAAACACATTTCTGGTTGCATAACTTGTCTAATAGGTCGTGTGGTTATTATTGGAACCACTATCATAAGCGACGAATTGGCCAATCAAATGCGATTATTTGTTTGAAAAACATCTAACCGCCTGCGCCAAGTGTACATATCTCTGATATCTAGCGTATTGGCACATCGTAATAGGAAGCCCTGTGCATAATTGAAAGATACCCGCCATCGTTTTTGTTTTACGGAATTAGCGGACCCTCGTGATTGGCTAGCGGTGGTGTGGTTTTTATCATCGATTCGACGAGAGCTACAGCTTCCGTTTCATTTGTTGTTGACTATGTCAGGAAAGGTTTCATTAACACATTTCCACTAAATATGGCAGTACACGAATAAACGCGTTCACGCTACTTGCAACTGGGCTACATCGAACCACAATATCTTGCACAATAACGCATCGTGTTTGACCTGTGCTCCCAGATAGTTTTCGTTGTAACAATTTGATTTGTGGCTGATCTGTTGACCTCGATGCGTATATTCAACCAGGTTACGTAAGCGACATCTTAGTTCTCACATTCCAAAATACTTCGCATTGGACGATCAACGGACACACGTGATTGGTTACTTGTCCCACCTCGAGATTTCATTGGTTCCTATTCACACACATCATAACCACCGCGTCGTATCGATTATTTCGCACCAATGAAACACTTGCTTCGCATTCACTTTATCATAAGCCGGCAAGCGAAGGAAAAAAATCAGAGCATCACAGAGTAAAATGTGTTGTATTAGGGGTTTGTACAAAGTAGATGGGGAGGAGAGGGGTAATCATCTCAAATTGATCGATTTCGACAACCCACGCGAAACATGTACAGTTTAGCGCAGTGGACGCGAGGCTTGCATCAAGTTAGCGCGAGATTCCGAAAGATGCATCGACACGCCATAACCGTCGACGAGGGCAGGTCCTTATTCCTGTTCGAACGATGCTGCTGGCTGGCAGTGAGTTGCACCATCTCCTCTCGCAGGTACCTCACGTAGGCCGAGTCAAATTTGTCTATTAAGAGACACGTTTTAACAAGGCGTCAGTTGCGACCTCAGGGCTTCTCTGCTATCACAATTGCACCAAAACCTACTGAAGTTATCCAACGACGTGCCATGTATGCGCGAATACAGCATGAGGAGCTCGCGGTACATGGAGAATGGCTCGTGCGATTCGTCGACCGACGGGTTCAACGATTGCAGCGCCGAAACGGCGGCCCGCACATTCTCGAAGGTGAGCGCGTCGCCGGCCATTTGCACGATCTCGTGCAGCGCGCACTCCGTTCGATCCTCGTCCTTCGACGGCGCTGCCAGGTCTGCCACGCTTGTCGATGGGCTCACTGATAATTTAAAAAAACATCAGTAGGTTATCAACTCGACTTTGTGGCTACAAGGCGTGGGAAAAACCTTGGAAAGTTAAAAAGCAACTTCAGGGAATCAGAAAATAAGATTTTTTCCTTTCAACCGAGTAGATTTAAGATGTGATGCGTTCTCGAAAGACCGATATTTTCACAAAATGGGTTGAAACCATTGAGTATCCTGTTACTAATGTCATAAATAGCAGCAGCGATTGATCTGATTCCACAAAACATTCGAAAATATCTTGAGGCAGACTACAGTATTTCACTAGTAATGATTGCCGAAAAAAATCAATAACTGGCTGGAGGGGGAGGGGGGATAAAGCTGGCAAGAGTTTCATTGGTACGAGGTAATCGATGCGCCTTTCTGTGAGCAGGAACCAATGAAATTTTGAGGTGGGACAAGTAACCAATCACGTGTGTCCGTTGATCGTCCAATGCGAAGTGTTTTGGAATGTGAGAACTAAGATGTCGCTTACGTAACCTGGTTGAATATACGCATCGAGGTCAACAGATCAGCCACAAATCAAATTGTTACAACGAAAACTGTCTTTGGGAGAACAGGTCAAACACGATGCGTTACCGTGCAAGACAGTGTGGTTCGATGTAGAACAGTTGAGTATCATGTTACCAGTGCCATAAATAGTAGCAGCGATTGATCTGATTCCACAAAACCTTCGAGAATATCTTGAGGCAGACTACAGTATTTCACTAGTAATGATTGCCGAAAAAAATCAATAACTGGCTGGAGGAGGGATAAAGCTGGCAAGTGACATACTACTACATCCGCCAATAGTAGTAGAAGCGTTGTTGGAACTTTGGTTGACCCAGAGACGGTAGAGCATGGGTGAGAATGATGAACCGGTTTTGTTTGCTGCTCCGCCTTTTCGCGGGAAAGCATCCCATCGAGCTACCACGCACACCGGCAGATCCGGCGACAAGGTCACCTCCTGCAACAACAACAACAAACGAATTTGATTGGTGCAAGTGGCGATCCACCAATCAGGTGTCTCCCCCCCTGGCTGCGGGATTGGCTTCACCCACTACTATGGAGTCTACACTCGGTGAGGGCACTTACAGAGAGAGCTCTGGCGACAGTGAGACTTCCGCCGAAGAAAACGCGTCGCCCGCCACCAAGTCTGCGCGCCTCCGCCTGCGCGTCCATCAGCCACGCAGCGAAGGCGTCCAGCAGGTGCGTCGGCAGACCGGCGCGATGGAAGTGGTAGACTAGGTTCCACAGCAGAACCGTCCGCTGTTTGTGCAGCAACAGCGAGGCTGAGGAGAGCGCCTCGGTTGCCATGCAGTCCAGACTGCTGGTCGACGCGGACAACACCGACTCCAACTGGCGACGCAGCAACAACGGACTGAGGAAGGGCAGCTGCACAAAAAACGCACGAGAATTACACACACACACGCACGCACAATCAAGAGGTGGATGCGCAGATAAGGAACGCACCGAGTATTCGATAAGGCCGTGAGACAGCGTCGGACGGTTCGTGGGAGGCGCAGGCGAAGCACTACAAGGAGGAGGGAAGTTCCAATGAATAAGAAGTCAGCTAGAGGTTCACAGGCGGTTGCGATCTGGTACAAAACCCCTCAACACACACACATACGAGGCTTCGACAGCTAGTCGTCGATGAACAGCCAGTTCTACACCTGCTGGAAGTGTTATTCGCGTTCTCGTTAAAATTCCAGCCAGAAATCTCACTGGTTTTGGTTCTGTGGAGATCCCACACACACACACACACACACACACACACAGGCACACATAAACACACATAGACGACTGCCGGTATGGAAAACACAGGCACAAACGCACAAACACATACCACGACGCACACGTACAAACACACACACACACGCGGACACACATACAGGGAGAGATACAAAAAATGTCAAGACACACACGCATAAACACACGTAGACGACTACCGGTATGGAAAACACAGGCACAAACGCACAAACACATACCAAGGCGCACACATACAAACACACTCACGCGGACACACAGACACATAGAGACACACACACACACACACACACAGGGAGAAACACAAAAAAATACCAATACAAACAAACATACACAGGTGGGCATAGACGCAGGTACAAGTAGAGACGCAAACGCGGAAACACGCTTAGACACACACACACACACCGTACACACGGACAAACACACACGCTCAAGCGGCCGAGACGCTCTGTCTTCAACGCTCTTTCTCGTTCGAGCCCTGACGGTTTTAAGGCCGAGATTCTACATCTCGGCCTCGGACCGAAATACGAGACACACAGACACACAAGTGCCAGAGGCTGCCACGAACATACCTTCGCTTGCTGCTGCTGTTGCCTTGGACCGGCGCCTCGAGAACGGCGATTGTTCGGACAGTGAGCTTTGGACTGATGGCCTGGCGACAGGCCGGACAGCTGACTGTGACGGGGTCGCCGGTTGGCGTCCACTCCGCCATGATCTCCTCGTCGTACACCGGGCGGCAGCAGGCCGGACAGGGCGTGCAGGTGGTGAAGATTATGCGCAGCTCCTGTACTCTCGCGGACGGTGGTGAGGCTGATTGTCCGGTGGACTTGAAGGAGGACGAGGGCAGTGGCGGCTTCGAGGACTGCGGCGACTCCGAACGTGCGTGCGGTTTGTACGGACTTGTGGCACGCACTGGAGCGTCGTCGGAATCTGCAAAAGGTGTCGTGGTTACTCACACACACACACGCGCGCGTAATTCAACACGGCGGACTCAATGAATTGAGTCACACCACGCACACTAATTCACCGAAACACACACGTGCGCACGCGCACGCACGCACGGCGATACAACCAGGTGTCTAGGACTCACAAGAGTTCAGCACAGGTGAAGATGCCGAAGGCGAGTGCTTGAGTGAACCGCTACCCCCACCACCACCACCACCATCCATCTCACTCTCCGAACCAATGACAGACGAGGAGACGATGGTGGCGTTGCTTTGCACGTGGAGACGTCCAGTGCTGGTGGCAAGCGAGGAGGACCGGGAGCGACGCCACGTGCTCTGCGCGGAGGCGCGGCGACGAGGCGAGGCGAGGGTGGGAGGACAGCGCATGACCAGGGGGTTCGCCAGACACACACGGTCGCCCACGGAGCCGACGGCGAGCTGTCCTGCGATCGCGTGCCACGAGGGCGGCTGGTAGGCGATGGCTGGAATTTAGGAAAGCACGTTTTTAACCGCACAAGGGATCGGCGATGCTCGACACCACCGTGAGGTGAGGAGAAGAGGAGAGGCCTCACCTGAGATCTGGCTGTCGAAGGGCTGTACCGTAGTGCCGACACTGCCTGTCAGACTCAAGGCCTCGTCGAAGGAGGCCAGTGAGCCACGCAGACTTTCGCCAGTCCCGGGGAGTCTGGGAGGTGCTGGAGACATGGTCGCTGGCAGGTGACGCTGGAGACGCTGCAGCCAGGATGGCGAGGCGGTCATCTGGGTGGACTGGACCTCCGGATCGACGACAGCAACAACAGCGTTGCCTGCTTGGTTCCGCTGAAAGAACCAAAGTCGGAAAATAGAAGGTGTGTGAGACCAAGAATAGGCTGTAGAGAAGAGGAATGCGGTCGGGGGGTTACTCATGTGTTGCTGGTGTTTAGGGCTCACCTTGGCAACGCCTACCATGAAAGCGTCTTGTCTAAGATCCACCGCATACACACACACACACAACCACATACGAGAATAAGCACACATGTTCACACACACACACAGTGACACAAGCCGACACCAATATATACGGGTACAGAAACACACGTTAACACCCACGCAAAAAGTCATACGGACAGAAACACACTTACAAACACATGTGGGACAAATAAACACACACACGGACACACACAGATGTAAATACATTCATACACACGGACAAGCAGATACAAGCAAATACAGAAACACACAAACATGTAGACCCATATATTTAACACACACTCACACACACATTCACACGCAGACACACAAGCACACTCAGAAACACATGGGGACACACGGTGACTCGAACAAACACACACAAACATATACAGACACGCATACAAACACATTCAGACACAAGCGCACACAGAGACACACACACGCACAAAACATGGGATATGGGTTACCTCGAAGGAGTCACGACTTCCGCCAACAGCTGAGTTGGAGGGCACGGTGTCAGCAGCCTCGGTTGCCACAGCCCAAGGTCGCATGTTGCGCGGCAGACGCGTACTGTTGCCAGGGTGACCGAAGAGACTCCAGTAGCCAATGGGCCTGGCCCCCGCCTCCACAGCCTCACACGCACTGCGGCTTCGGGTTGGCAGGGGGGTCTTGTGCGGCTGCGATGTGTCGATCAGCTGAGCGTTCTGGTCCAGAGTGAACACAATTGGGTTCTGGTATTCCACGGTGAAGGAGGCGAGCTTCCGCATCGAGGCCTGGGCGAAGGACTTCCACCCCCTAAGGCGAGTGTTAACGAGAGAGAGAGGCATTAGATGAGGTCACGTCGAGAAAGTGACCTGGCGAGGTCAATTTCGACCCACTCACTTTTTAGTGGTGGTGGTGGTGGGAGTTTGGCTTGGCTTGGAGTCACCAGCGACTCCATTGAGGTCTGGTGGTTGGGGATGACTGTCGCCGCCCGTCGATTCGCCCAGCTGATTACTGACGGTGCTGTCGTCGCAGCCGACGCTGACGACGATGCCCGAGTCTGATGGCTCATTTTCCACTAACTTGGTGTTCCGATCAGGCGCTGAGAGGGTTGTTTGTGGAACGAAACTTCGACAACCCTCAAACGGGACATTGGCGCTGTCCAGGGAACCTACAAGGGATCAGTCGTCATGAGATTTCGCGCGGCATAAATACGAGACAAGTCTGGGGTGAGATGTTAAAACGAACCCTCAGAGAGGTGACTGGTGGAGATCGCTCGGGTTCCAGTCTCGGGATCACCTGACGTCGTCAACTTATATCCCAGATCACGATGTAGCTAGAATAGTGGAAGGAAACAAGGAAAGACTGTCAGATTTGTTCGAAAGTCGAGCAAACTACACTCGTTACTAAGTTGCACTTGTGAGAGGGGCAACAGCCATGGCGACTGGCACTTGTGAGTCACCCTTATCTTACACAAAATCCATTATCTTTGTTTAAAATTATGCTGTAAACACACCCACACTATTACAAAACAGGTGTAGTGGGCGTGAATATAGGTGTTAATGACCAATAGGATTGCAGAAACTAGAGCAATCAGGTTCACCTCGCGCTGATTGGTGCTTGTGACGCAATCTCGCATCTCATTGGTCATCAGTAACAATTGGTCGCACGCATCCAAAATGACGCATAGATGGCGAATAAACGGGTATCACAGTGCGCTAACTTTGGAAAGGCACTACTGGGTGACGAGTAAATGACCTTGTGGTTGGCATACCTGATTGGCCATGGCGTAGGAGGCAGCGTTGAGAGGTCGACTACTCCAGAACTGGATCACACCCTGGTCGGAGGTGCCGTACTCGTAAAGCAGAGCAATCAGCACGCGAACATAGGCCTGTAAATCAAACAGTTTTCGAAAAAAAAAATATCAAATGGACTTGACACCGACCAACTACATGCCAAAATCCACTAGGGGACTTTGACCTAGGTCTTTGAAACACTGAGCGACGCACGAAGGACGCGGCGGCTGGTCTCCGTTGAAACCTTCGCGAGACCTTTCCACACCCAACCACACACCTAGACACCAGCGGGAGACAAAATCACCTGGTCAACCGGCTGCAGCACCGAGTCCCACAGACGCAGAAACATCTTGACGACGTGGAAGAGGAAGTAGCAAGCCTCGAGGCACACCGGCCCGGTCGCGGAGTCGCTGTAGCGCTGTTGTAGGGACGCGATGAACGCCGGAAGGAGAAGGAACCACAGGGAGTAGACCTCGGAGAGCAGCAGTTCCGCCCACAGATATCCACCGAGGTCACGACGCCTTGTTGCTGTGTTGATGGCAAGCATTAGAGTAAGAAGCTAGAAGCGCGTCTAGAGACTTAGATATTAGGCGCATGACATAATTTGCACAGATTCTTTTTCACGAGATTAAAATTGCGTTTAATGAGAAATATTTACGCGGTCTCTTGTGGTTTTGAAAGGATCGGATGCAAGGTTCCACAACGTCGTAATAAGAACAGTACCATCGAATGTGCTGTTTATTAGCTGCCATCGTAAACTCGGCCATTCTGAGAGATTATGTAACTCAAGTAGAAAGTTACAGGGCTTATTCCATGGCGTGTATTGAATGCGAATGAAGTCCTCTTCGTGGCAGTTCTGGTTAGCTTTTACGATGTAGGAAGGGAACCACGGTGTGCTACTAGGCCTATGACCTAGTTTACGGCGATGGCAAGTTACAAACTGCTCATCCGATGGCACTGCTTTTTACACGAATTCCAACTAGGAAAACGGCTTCTAAAGCACAGAGGGAATCAATTTGTAGTGTTCTTGGTGATGCCGACGTTGTGTCTTGTCAAGCGTGTTATTAGTGGTGTTAACTTCTTAGAAGTTGGTGATTTCGATCTTAGGGAGCAGTCGCGAAAGTTTGAATATGTGGAGTTGCAAGCTTTACCGGATAAATATTCAAAGCAAATGTAGCAAGAGCTTGCAGCTCACTTAGGAGTCACCCAAACAGCTACTTTCGGGAGTTTGAACAACCTCCCAGATCAGCGTACAAACACATGGTTTTCACTGCTTGCCCACCGGCAACACGCAGTGAATGGACTTCTTGTGAAAAATCGTGACGGGTGATGGAAATGACATCTTCTTAAGAGAATCCCAAACGTAAAAAAGTGTCTTGGGTGGATCCGCGACAACCCAGTACATCCACCACGCCGATTCACCACATCCACCAGAAGATGGTTCTTCTGTGTATCTGGTGGAACAGGAAAGGTGTTCTTCATTACGAACTCCTGGAAACTGGTCGTCAGATGGTTAATGCGAGTTGAAATCGCCAATAGTGTTTTGAGAGCAAGCATTTTGAACTACTTCCATTCCAACTACTTCCCATTCCGGTTTAACAGCAACCAAGCCAACTGACCATTAACCAAGCAATCAGTCGTCTCCTGTTGGGTACGCTTAAGCAGGGAGTTCAGCTTCGCGATGCCGAGGGCTTCAGGAACACCGTTGCCGGGGACGAACGACAACGGAGGTGGAAGGTGTTTTGCGGGCGGGTAGAACTCTTGGGTGTTGGTGGGGGTTCCACGGCTGTCGGCGCAAGTCCCCATCGAGTCCACGAAATCGCCGCTGAGAAGGGAGGTGGTTGAGGGGTTGTGCATGTTGATTGGTTCGACGGTGTGGGCTACGGTTCGCTGAGCAATGCGACTGCACAGCTGGTCCAGGAGGGCACTGTTGATGGCTTCTGGGAAATGAGCGTTGCCGGTCCAGGTGAATTGGTTCATGGGCAGATCGATGCAGAGGGGGTCCATCTCTAGCACCCCATCAGGTGGATCAACCACCTTTGAGTACTCACTAAAATGCAGGCATCTACTTTTGTTAGTGTGCCTGATATCGACCAACTCTCTTCCTATTGGTTCACTCCACAACAATGAACCAATGGCAAGTTACTGTGACGAGATCTGTGATTGGTTGGCGAGTGACACAGGGCAGATTTACAGTAGACAACAAACCTGTTGAAAAGACGACCGTTGCCGAGACCAATCAACCCTCCGTTCAGACTGGCATCATCCTGGGCGCCCCCGATGCTGCCTCTGGGTGAGTTTGTCGAACCGCCTGCGCCGTTCGTGAGCACCGAGAGCGCTGAGTGGCTGCGATTGACGCGGCCGTCCGAGATGCTGCCGTCGCCACCAGAGCCGCTGGACACCTGGGAGCAGTCGTCGTCGACGGCGAAGCCCCGTTGGCGGTGACGACCGAGGCGGAGCTGCTTGAGCTGAGCGATGCAGTTGTCGAAGGACTCCAGTTCCGGCGTGCGCTCGGATATGCAGTTCAAGTCGCGCACAAAGTCCGCCCACAACTGCGTCTCCACTAGGGCCTTGTAGAACGGCTGGCAGTTTCGCTCCGGTGCGTGCTTCACGTACTCTAAACGGGGAAAAATACGGGAATGAGGTCAGGTCCTGTGCAGCGTCTGAGGTGAAGCACCTCCCCCAAAGATCGACTCACCCTCGGAATCGAACAGGAGTTCCCTACCCTTGGAGGTGACGGGCAGAAGGAATTCGCGATAGTCCTGAAGCAACTCCGCCATGAAGGAGAAGCACGCACGGCGGACCTTGGTGCCGACGAGGCACTACAAGAGTGCGCGAACGAGAAAAAGGCATGTTGTCGTGGCAAACTAAGATTCACACAAGGCTGTAAACTCGTGAGATCGACAGGGATGGTTATAATCAAATCACAGGCCATGCGAGTGAATTGAACGCGGCGACCTGAACTACACCTGCGCACGGGGACATTTCACAGGACCGTGTCACCGAATTCCATGGGATTCCAACATCTGGGGACAGCTGCGTGAAATTGGATTCTCACCGCCGCCAACCTAACTCTCTCGTTTCCTCGTCAATGAGAACAAAGGAATTGAGGTTAGGGGAGCAACTCACGATGTGGTTCGTGTACTTTTCCTCAGACTTGACACCCAATTTCTCGTCTTCGCGTATCTTCTTCGCAATCTCCTCCAGCTGCTTTTCGTTCTCTACCAGTGCCGATTTCAACCGCTTATAGGGACCCTGTGAAGAGAGGAAAAAGAGCAGTGTCAGAATTGAAATTCAGTTCAAGACATCGCTACTTCCACCACAAATCAGGCTCTAATCGACACACCATCCAGTGAACTTGTATGGACACACATCCACAACACCCAACCAACGAGTGCATCCTCGTTGTCATCGTAGATCAGGTGAAGTTGCGGATCATAATCGCAATCGATTTCCGATTTGTAAAAAAAAGGCTCGAACCACGCATGAAATCGTCGCGGTGTGGAGAAGGTACCTTAGGCAGACACTTGGCGTCGGTGAATCGATTGTTGATGGCAGGTCGGAAGAGGCGCGTGTCGAGGTCGATGACGGTGATGTCGTCGTCAGAGGGCAGACAGAAGAACTCGAAAAAGCGCGAGTCCACTCCGATTAGGTAGGGCGACGGCGATTGGATCACGTGGATGCAGCGCATGTGGATGAGGGGGATATAGACTAGGACCCAGTGCAGCGGATGGATCAGCTGAAGTGGAAGGAAGAAGAGGAGGTAACAAGATACTACCACCACGTTCGAGGCCGGTTACAGCTACATCTGCCTGATTATGTCTCCTATTGAAGGAGGAGATGTTCAACAAAGAACGACTGCGGAATGGGACTCACCGTGATTAGCTGTTGGATGGTATTGACAAGGAAGTCCGGCATGACAGAGATGAAGAGAAGCTTCTGCTCCGTCAACAGTTGAACGATCAGCTGCAGACAGAGCTCTGAACCGATACGGTGAAGGAGGTTCGCGTAGGGCTCGCCAGAAGGACTACAAAATGACGAAAATCAAACTACATGGAACGCGCTGTGTGATACCCCTTCCATGATTGGTGGATTTGACTATCGTCTGGTGGGGCGTTTGTGACTCAACCAATCAGCTGTAAGGTGGCCTCTTGCCAACTTCAGAACTGATTATATATACGGTGTGGTGAGTCGTGTCCAGGCACCTCGATAAGTAACCCCCTCTGCGTCATCGCAGCTTGTGCGGATACGTCTGGACACCACGCGTTTTCGCGTACCTCTCACATGCACATCTACGAGTGAATTTCAATCGCTACACAAAACCAGCCAATAGCGAGCCAGGAGCGACCTCATGTTGACAAACCTGGTTGGAGGAATGAGGAGGAAGCTGCCAGTTCGTCAGTTCTTTACAAAAACGAATACGAAGTATCGTAAATACTCAGAACGCAGGAGATTATAAAGTCACTTACCTAGACATGTAGTTTTCGAAGGGAATTTGCAGCCGCATGTGATAGCCATCGAGCTAAAAAAAGGGAGAAGCACACGACTCGTGAGTTTGGTGAATCAAATTTAAGGAATCAAGAGGGTGGGGACTCACATCGACGAGGACGTAGGGACAGCAGAGATCAGGGAAGGGGATTTCCTGGAGCATAAATGCAAGATATCTGAAAGTAGAAAAAAAGAAGACTTGTTTCGATCGATACTGGGAAGTCAGAGGACTAAGGAACGCCAACAGGGGACGCTTACGACAATTAAGGTTGTACCTTTCAAGAGGAATGGGTCGGGCTTTGGGCCCGAAACAACACGACTCGAGAAAAGCGAGGAACGGTCGAAAGGCGTCGTTGAAGTCGAAGCGGGAGACCAGACAGATGGTCTTGGTGACGCCAAGCACACGGTCGCCGACGCGGGACGCCGCAAACACGCCCTGACGATGCTCGATTCGAACGAGTTCCTCCGGGGTGAAGAGGTCATCTTCGGCGGCTGTGCCGTCCTTATTCAACAGGGCCAGTTCTGGGTCGACGTCGAGACGGTAGCACCGGTCTCTGTCTAACCGCGAGACGTCGTAGGGCTCGTAGAACGTCAGTGCGGAACCGTGAAACTAAAGCCACAGGTGGAAGGCATTTACCATTGTCATAACTTCAACCACCGTCGAAGCGGGCTGACCAATCACAGGGCTTGGAGAGGACAAAGTGTGCGAAAAGGCAACTGACCTTTTGGTAGGCGGCATTTGTGACGACGAAGGTGAAGAAGACCGACCTGGGGGGATTCTGTTCGACGGACCACGACTCGATGGCGGCGCCCCAGGGCAGGCAGAAGTTCGCCAATGTGGCTATATCCACGCTGTTGAAGATGGGCTCGGCCAGGGCGTCGTCTGAAAATGCGGAGAGAACGCGATTGGTGCAGTGATTTAAACACCCAAACGAAGTCACCGAGCAAGCGGCAGTGCGGATGTCACTGCGAGCACAAAATAGCAGTTACTCTCCGCTTAAACGTCCGATGGCAGGTAGAGAGTCGGAGGGGCGGGGTGAGTGAGGAAGGGCGTCGACCCACGCACCGCAAACGCGCGACATTGTTTACGGGCGGCGCGAGGAACCATAGTAGCGGTGCGATGATTGGTCGGGAGTTTTTTGTTGTCAACGCAGTTAATAACGCAAACCACTCGGGTTTCACTTACTCATGATCGAATGTTAGACAAACGAAAACAACCAACGACGACGCTTAATCAGCTACGTGTAGTTACATAAACAACGACAAATGGGACGGATATGTTCACAGGCTATTTCAGGTCAGATCTATCGAGACGAAATACCCGTTGTAATTCTTTGTTTTACTAATCTGCTTCGCACGTTGGGCGCCAATTCAAAGTTGTCCACTCGGTGAGCAGAACCATGGTAACTAGACAGTCGATGCGCCCTAAATCTGGCCTTGGCTGCCAGCTACACATGAGATTGGTGACGACTGCTAACCGAAACGGCCAATGTAAACACATCCACCCAGTGTCAGTTTGAATGACCAGCTTGTTAGATAGGTGCGATTATGTGCTGTTGCAGCAGGAATAACAGAAACAAATGATCGACGACAGCTGCCTAAGGAATGTGTGTATTCACTGCTAAAACGTCCTGTGACGCAGAAGCCAACAGCCCTATTTGTAATTGGCAAAATGCCCAACTGAGATCGTATCATCCACGAAGTTGGCTATCGTGAAGACCCTAGATAATTGACGCAGTTCTGTGTACTGGACAACCTCTTGCCGCGAAGGAAGTCAGATCGAATTCGGAATTGCAGTTGGGGCTTGAACGGGTCGTTCTCCTGCAAAGGAACTGCAACTGGCAACAACTGCGATGATCAGCAAGTGAATTTCTGCCAAGAGGGATAAACTGGCCACTTGTGGTGCCCTGTAATCGATAACGCTGAGGTTGTCTGAATAAGGAGACCAATGCCTGTTGGAAAAGCCCCAGTTACACCGGTCGGAATATCGATTAGGCAACCAAACCAGACCTGAGGCCCATCGGAAGACAAATCCTTTGCAAACGAGGACCACCCAGGGCATGATTAGGCTGGAAGTTTCATCAGAACGCGCCCGAAGATGCGTCGCTTCTCAGAGGCATCCGTGGTTCTCCACCACAGACTCGACAAGTTTATTGAAGAGACTTACCTGTTGGCAGGGGAGCGGTAATTTGGTGTCCATCGAGGATGGAGGTGGTTTGGGGCTGGGATCTACCGGGGCACACGTGGTACCACATCAACACCTCGGGCTGGTAGGTGGCGATGTAGCGTTTCACGAAGGACTTCTTGTAGCAGATGTGCATGTCAGCGGAGAGCTATAAAAAACCCAATAAAACAACGTAAAACGGTGGCACGGAGTGGCAGCGTCCTGGCATGGCCTCGTGAAACAGCCAAAATCGATTATCAGGAAAAGTACTTCACGCGGAGAGGTTGAGTGGGACGGTTGACGAATTGCGTCTGAAGTCACAATTTCACCACATGGACAGAGTTAGGCGGCCACCACACTTGTCACGCGTAACAAGTTGATGAAATCTTCCAACAGCGCTAGGGTTGCACATTAATCATAGACTCATACACACACACACACACACAGAAAGGGTGTATTGGCACAAGGTAAGCACAGTGGGAATTGCCGCAGAAATCTCACGCCCTCAAACCTGAAATAATAGAGTAGCGCTGATGTGAGTAGCAATTTTCACGCGCAATGAGGTAGCCCAGGGTAAGAACACAACACCCCACGCACCCAACAGTGGGACAACACGGAGCTCGGCCTGGCCACTACCGCTTCGGACAAAATTGGCAATAAGCAAGCAGACAGTTTGCATTGTCCTCCTCAGTAGTCTACGCAAACGACTTGACGCAAGGGCGGAGTCGACGCGGATAGCCAAGGCGGCACACCGCGAATTAACGTCGCCAAGGCAACCGGTGGTAATTGGGGCATGAGGGTTGGTGGGAGTGAACGTGAATGCGTGTTAAGAGTGCTTCCAAGGCCACCGACGATGTGAGGAGTGTCTGACGACAGACTCGACCGATCGCCAGCCCGATCTATTCAGGGCCAAGGCATAACGACGCAACGAAGGAAGTGCGTGTGCCTCGTTAACACTAGGAAGTATACGCAAAGTCATGGCTTGCATGCCGCAAGCACGCGTGTTTGTCGTGAGACGGTTCCACAGTTATGACGAATGCTGACGTTTGCTTTGTGCGGGATTCACTACGTATGTTTGACAAACAAACTGTCACCAGGCGTGGATGCAACCCCAATTCGGCGAAAAAAACTCATGTTAATAGCACAAAAGAAGCGGTTACCAAGGCGCGGTTTAACAGATTGACAACGGCAAGCCAACACGTGGTGATGCTGATGGAAATCGCATTTAATCGGTACGAGGAAGTATTAATACCGATTTGCGCAGGATTACCAACAGCCCTCAGGACAAACGAAGCTGATTCTAGACTGCACGCACGGTTTTAACGTCTGGCTTGCTTGTTCTTGATAGTTGCTACACCTCGTTTTACTAGTTTGACTCGTTCGGTGAGCGCCAATTTGAATCTGTTAACTCCGCGCCAATCGAACATACCAAAATGCCCCACATGGTGTCCCGAGCTTTCTTTATTTGTATTCGATCGATTTCGGCTTGATTGCCTGAACTAGGAAACCCATGTCTGACAGGTAGGTAGACAGAACCCGAGGTTTTTCACAAGGCAACCGAACTGAGATCAAATGTGGCCGAATCCACGTCACACACAAACACACTAGAGCACTGGTTGCCACATACATCACAGGCACCATGGTAAAAAGGCCATGTCAGAAATTACAGGCTGGTCTGGTTATACTGACTCATCACGATCCAGCATTGCAGTCGTGTTCGAGTGATATCATTGGATACGATCGATGTGTTTCAATCTGAGTTGCAAATTCGAAATATTGATTCGTTGTACCGCGTCCTCACCTCCTGCGGTACACAAATTTCGTGTACCTTGACGAGTTAGACATTCTGAGCACTTCTCAATTCCCGTGTAATGCATTTAACAACCTCTCGCAAAACCGTGTGACTGACGGATTTAACTGTGGCTTTCATTTGACCACCATCGACTCCAGTGAGTTGGCCAAATTTGGATGAAAAATCGCCAGAACGGACGCCCTTAAACCAACCCTGAAACGTGCCTTCTTTCTAAGCCATCGCATATCTCTACGTGAGGCTCAGCAGAAACGCACAAAGCTGTCACGAATTTGAAATTTACGCGATAAACCAGCCAATAGCGTGCCGAGTACAATCTCACGTTGGCAAACTTGGTGGAAGACCAAACAGCTATGAAAGCAACCTAAGAAATTCCCCGGCTGTAAAAACAAACAGTAATTTGCCGAACGAACGGCACAGCCTCACTACTAGTTCCTGTTTACAAAAGAAGGACATGGGCCGTGTTGTTGCCTCACTGGTTTAAAAATTGTGCAGTTAAGGAGAGCGATCACGGGATTATTATGGTTTCAGATGAAGAGTTTGGGGTAAGGTGCGCAACGACCACACATAAAGCCTCAAAAGCAGTGATTAGCGATCGTGGGTTTGTGTGAACACGTGGTCCATCCAACAGCACAAAATTTGATTGTCTTAGTGTCACTGTGGCAAAAAACCGGTGTTCGTAGCGCCTCAGCGGTACAAGTGATCAATAAGCAACACTAGAGCAGACATCGCAGTTGCGAGTAAACCACACACGATGGGGATCGCTGATAACTGGAGGTACGAAAGGGGTGAGAGCAGGGAGTGATGAAGATTTGGCAAGATGCGATGCACAGCTACACTCAACTCTCTGGCCACGGTTCATGGGCCCACACTTGAGGATTATGGTGGGAAGTGTGGACAGATGTGGTGACAGACCATCTACCAATAAGAGTCCCGGCGAACTTGGTTTAAAAGGGGACCTGAACTGGGGGATTTTCAACTCGGACACCAGCACGTCGTCTCGGTGACATGCAGCGTTGGAACACCGTCACCGCCGCCCTACCCTTACACAACCTGGGTGTGCCATTTTGGGCCCCTATTCCACATTTTTGACCACAGGCGATGACAATTCTGCCACACACACACACGCGCGCGCGCCACAAGTTTGGAATGTGTGGGGGGAGGGGTGACAATTTGTACCGGCGCAAGCGTTTTACGGTGGATGGTAAGCTAGGGGTGAAAATAAACACACAAACGACCCATCTGAGAGAGGGAGAGACTAAACAGTGAGATTGGTGACCAGCGATTCAAGTCCATCATGTCTGCTGACGCACGTCTCTCTCACCCCGCCGTCTTCTTCCCAGATGCCTCTGACCTTCGTGGAATCTTCGAGCACTTGCGTAGCGCAACCAGCCCCGGTGCGTGGGTCACAGATGCGTTGGGATTCAGAATCTAGGGCTTAACACGAAAACCACATCAAGAGACACACATGTGAAGAAGAAGAAGAAGAAGTAGTAGTTGGTTGGGACATTCAGGAAGCCTTCCACACCTGATCCGACACAAGCAGCGGGTCAAACGACTTGGGAAGACGTGGAGTCTGCAATTGATCTGATTGTGAACATAACAAAATACCCCAAGACGGTTAGCTGAGCCTTGCTACGCAGTCCCGAACAACAAAGAATGTCATCGTTAAAATTCTTCACCAGGATGTCTCTAGTATGAACGACTAACTTCAGATTACGTTTTAGTAAAGACGTAATCCGTTTAGTCATGGCGAAATACATGAGGCAATCTGTGTATGCTTACGCAAATTTGCATAATCAATGCAAAATCACCCAATCTGCCAGTGTAGTTTTTGTGTTAGAATTTCTATTCAGGGGGAACAACATGAGTTTGCCAACTCACAATCCCACACGCCAACACCACGATGACACCGGGTGGATACTGAGGTAGTGCGGGGAAGAACGATGACTCCTTTGCGCGCATTCGTGACTTTCGGCCCAGAAAGGCCTCAGAAAGAGAGAGAGAGGGTCAGTGCAAGCATATGTGGTGAATCGTGCTGATTCATGTCCGTTAGCCCGGTCGTCGCCTTCTCCACCGCACTGACCTCCTTCTCACGATTGAGCACGCGAGACCGCCTACTCATACCCTCCTCTGGGTGTACCGCTCCCACGCTACATTCACGAGGGGGGGGGAACTCAGACTATTGATCGACGAGCCCCATCACTATTCAGACACGACTTTTCACGCTCAGTGGCGCGACAGATGCAACTCCAGGTTGAGCAGTGTAATAAACGTTTGTGTCTCTGGTCTTCCTCGCATTTAGAGTATCCCAATAGTGTAAAGGGACCAATTCACCACGCACACACACTTGTAAATCCCGGTGTTTTTGCCACACTGAAAGCTCTTTTCTGGTAAACTGATAGCGTGCAACCACACAGCCAACGAAAACAGTTCGCACCACGCCATACGCACAAAAACAACCGCTGCCACGAACGAGAGGGCTGGTGTTTTGGGCGACCTAGCAACTCGTGCCAGGTTGCTGTCTGCGGCTGTCCTGTCCGACTTTTTTTTGAAAAAAAAACACATTGGTGCTACATTTCAAGATGCCTGTTGCGCTGACAGGGATAGAAGAAGCGTGGAAGAAGAAGCGTAGAGGCAATTTTGAGACGGAAAACGCTAGAACTCGCTAGTCTTGCAAAACACTAGCCACATTCCCTCTGGGCGAGATCACGTTTGCATTGCCCCCCAACCAATCAAATCGACTGGGTGCGCTCGCCAGCAGAATTACACCAACTGAGCAGAAATACCGCGGTTCCGTTATCGATTGGCCTGGGGTTCGGATCTGAGCTCGCTAATATGACTTTAAGCCTCGAGTTTTGCACGCACACAAGCTCCGACTACATAACGTAAACAGTAATAAAACCGAGGGGTTTTAGCGAACTTTAGACTTAAGCGAGGCGAACGGATTACGGGACACGCGTTATAACAACCACCGCGAAAAAAAAAACGACTTCCGTTTATCAATTGTTGTGTGACTGGCGTTTCCGGAGTGTAATTACAAAGAAAACAGCCACTGTCTGTCACGTGACTGGCTGACAGATTGGGTACGAAAGTTGGGATGTAAAATGTACTCCGGCAGCACAAAAGTACATTTTTTTAGGTTGCAAAGAGGACGTGTAAGAACTTACACAAATTAGCCTAACAACAAGGTCACAGGAGGTGCATTAAACGCACAAAACAGAGGCGTGGAATCAGTACTCATTCTAATGTAAGGTTACCAAGAAATTTCGGTTTCCGGATGAAATCACACTAAAGACAACCACGAGAACTGCCGATTAAGGCTACTCAAAGACTACAGCTGATGAAAAACTACCAATTGCTTTCCCTCCCAATGTATTAGAGAATGTAAGTTCGTGTGGAGGGCTGTGAGCGCAAAGAGAAGGCTAAATTTGTTGCATAACTTGCCACAAACCGGACACCAGTTCAATCACAGGGAACCGATTGGCTTTTGTACATGTTGTAGGTAAACGCGGCTATACATAGAAGCCTGAGTGAAACAACATCGTTGGGATCGACTGAGTAAAGAAAACGAAGGAAAGAAATGAGAATGGAACTATTGTACAACGTACTACAAATGTCAATGTTTATCCCAAAACCAAAAAAAGGATAGATTCCGGTTCAAAGTACTCGTTATGCCCATCAGCAACACACTTAACAATGTGATTACGTGGTTTTGTACGACTCCATAAACGCGTTTTGTGTGCCAAGATAACTGGGGCTACGGCATTAAACAACGACCGCAAGAGTGCACGGTTTGGTAGAGATCATGAACATTAACAATATGGGACGGCAGAATCGGTCAAAATCCAAGGGAAAATGCATACTCGAATTCAAGCGCAGGTAATGTAAACTTTCAGCCAGCAATATTAAAGTAATTTTTTTCATCTACACAAGTCAATATGGAGCTTTACTTAAAATTCATAAAGCAAAGTGACCCGTTGGGGGAGTGACAGACATTTAAGACAGATTTACCCAAAAAAAACTATTGAGATGACTACAGTGACATGAGAAGGTTTAATTTAAATTCTGCACTAATCAGAGCAACAGAAGCATTTGAACCGACTTTCAGAAAATCGAAGGAACTTTTTGACTTACCGATGGACAGACCAACTTCTGAGGTAATTCCTTGTATCCAAGCGGACAGACCTCACCTTTGTTCTTCAAAATCACGCAGATATCTGTCAGCGCGAGTTGATCAACACCATAATTTTTGGGTAAACGACTGTAAGAGAAGTACATGTTGGAGTTGGGTAAGAAGCGCTTCTTCATTAGCACAGCCGGACGACTTCCAACGGTATGTGTGATGTTTGACGAATTCGCCTTCAATCGTTGATTAGTGTCAACTAGCCTATAAAGCATACAGTTGGGTGAGAATAAAAAAACTTAAAACTGGAATGAAAGCAAAGTGAATGATTACGTGTCTCACAGCCAAGCCCAGAAAATATTTTTAACGGAATTCCTTACCCAATATCGCCTATTGGGGGTTTATCATAGCCTCGGCGGTAGCAAATACACAAATCCTCTCCTGCACGACTCTGGAGAGAGCATTCAGCCGAACCATCAACTGTTTCCGTGATTAGTTGATAACCGTCTGGTGGATGCTCCTTCTGACTTAAATTAATCAACTAAACGAAATGCCAATTCCGTGTTAATTCTTACCTGGATGTCAACAATAGGAGTAGAATAACGAGAGAAATCCAAGCATTTAGACTCAGAGAGGACAATTTCCTCACCATTCCGAATAATCTCTGAAACATCGTAAGGCGTAGGTTCCTCTGGTAAACCACAGACAGCGAAGTATTCTGCTAGGAGATCAGGTGAGTTGCTTTTCAATGACATTTCGCGCATGACCGAAGAATAATAAAATAAACGATCTGCGGGCAATTGGAATCTATGCACTGGCTATTTAAACGCTGATGATCCAATTCACCAATGGGATGCCGGTTGTTTCCAGTGCTGTTTAATGGCACGCCAGCATCACTAATGTCAAAGGGCAGTCTTTCCACAAAAAATTGTAAAGTGGTTAGTAAACTAATACAAAATAAACCTAAAAGCAATTTTATTGTAAAAAAGTTTTGCAATATATTTGAAAAGGCGCGTTTTTGTTTAATCAAATGATAAAATATTAGAAAACAAATCAAGTTGCTGGAAGACAACATTTCACGAATGCCAGGTAATTATATAAAAAAGGTAGTCTGAAACATTTTAAGAAAATCAAATAGCAATTATTGTTTTTTTAATGTGTATTGTCGGAATTCGGTGTAGTCCCCTTTGTTTTGTAGGCTTTACTTGGCCCTAGTAAAATGTTGCATTTCCCAGTCATGACCAGAAATCTTCCTGATTAAATATTAGTTTTGCTTACTTGCTCTTACATTTGTTAAATATTATTTATTCATTAACTACATCATTCCTTGTTATTTTCGAACAATACTTTTGTGTTTGAGGAAAAACGTGTGTGCAATTGACACATTGCCTTAGGGCTTGCATTTTGTCAAAAACTTTGCAGTATGCATGCTTTAATTATGACCTCTAATCTAACTGTTCAAACGTTGGTTCTTATGTGTTACCCAACAGTGATCAGTTAGGGTCATCCAGCCTACAGACTGATTCAACCTGAATGATCACTCCTTACTTGTAGATCTCCGGTGATGTCTTACGTTATCGAGCTCTCCTGGTTTGCTTGGACCTTGGTTATCTGGGTGTTCTGTGCCACTGTTTTAACACTGTTTTGTGGATTTAACTTCATGTATAGGAGGATCCAATACTTCGTCTCCCGTCGCGTTGAAAAGCAGAAGTCGTCATAACCACTACCGGACCTCTCCAGTAAAGCTGGACCCTGCAAAGATACTCCTGATATACTACTTCATCTCTCACACTGCGAGGGCTGGCCTCTTCGTTCTAATTTCGTTACTTCTTAAAATTGTTGAGTGGATCCTCCCGTTATTCTACAGCAAGAGCAGATTGATTTCTCGTTTCGCCACGTTTTGGTCTGTCGTGTGATATTTGTTTCCACGCTATTCGTCAGATTTTCAACCACCAATTCATGAATGAAATGACAGTCTAAATTGGGAAGGCTTCTATGTTGAATTGTGACCAACCAGTTGACCGATGCTTATATTTGCCTTCTTTACAATGTATTTGTGTTTACAGATAAGATCGCTATGTGATTTGTTCCCTTCCAACTTTTTACAAACGTTCGGAAAGGGTAAAATTGTATTAACAAGCAAGTTTTGCGGCACTATTGTTCGTAGACAATCACTGGTGCCTCGTCAGTATCCCAATCCACGTCATCCACGGGAATTTCGTCAGTTGCCGCAGCTGGATGTCGATTTCCCGACAGCCGTACGTTGAAGCGCCGTTCCAGACTGCTTCGTAGTCCTTCTGACCTGTCTAGTAAATCAGAGAGGCGTCTGTCCGACGCCGCTGCGCTTGCAATGTTGCTAAATATCCGGGCCAGCGTGTGCGGCAAGAAAGCGGGGTCACCTTGGCGCTGGCTCCAACCATCGAAGCAACCGTTACTGTCACCTGAGTTGAAGAGATCGGTCATTCTGAGGGTCTGTCCAGTTTCCGGGTCTTCTGGGATAGACTTGTGTTGAGTGCTCTCCTCATCACCGTAAGTTAGTAGGCGGTAGAGACTCGTAATGAGGGCCTTGTAAAGACGAGGCCTCTCGAGCACAGCGCGTTCACAGTTCGCAAGCAATGAGAGCAGACGTCGCCAATGAAACCACCCCTCGATGACTTCGCCTAAAGTTTGTTTCTAAAGTTCAATCCTGGATGGAACCCCGCATAGTTCATTGACGCTTCATGTAGAAAGCAAACTTACCAAGCAGGAAAATGACGAATGAGAAATGGAACTCCCCGAGTAGGTGGGACTCTCCAGGCGATAGACCGCCAAAGTCTGGTGGATTATCAAGAGAGGCTTCGATTTCCGAAAGGATGTGGTTCAATGTGTACGTCTGGTCCATATTGTGTCGGCTTATTTCGCCCAATGAGGAACCAGGAGGGAACAGTGGATGTGGTGGTAGTTTCGTCAGATTTAGCTAGTCAACAAAGAAAATACGTTTATCAAAAATGACCAGTTTGATGGGTGCAAGTGGTGTCGGTGGATCGATCAACAGAATTAAGGAATGGTCAGGTGTTAGTCCAGAAGCGGACAGTGGAAAGTCTTTGATACTCTCTTGTGGCAGATGTTAGCCACTATATTAGCCCGATTCGATGACGAAGGCGCACTGGCAAAACTGTGGATCTCTCGGTGGTGCGACAAGACGCTGGTTATTAGCGTGGTAAGGCGGTTTCACGGTAACGTGATAGCAGAATACGCTACAATACGTGATTGCAATTTGACTTCCAGGCCCGATCACGATAATAGAACCCAGGACAAGATAACAGCATAAGGGGTATGTCTGTCTATTAATCCGTCAGATTTTGTTGAAATTTCGGTTGGGCGATGTGAGGTATTGACACAGATTGGCATCTACGCAGGCCATGAGTAAAAAGCCACGATGATTAAGCTAAAAACGCGAGCCTATTTGGTAGGAATTAATAGTTCCTTCCTAACGCGTCATCAGTAATTGCGATTTGCGTTGCCTTAGCATAACGATGCACTTAACACGATTCGTGAATGATGTCCAATCACTTGACTTCGATTCAATATCTTGCTAACGGATTCGTATTCGTCTCTCGACAACTACAGTGTGTAGGCCAAACAAGCGATCGTTTCCAGGTCAGAAACAGTGGTATGATATCGCATTGCGTGTTCCTGTCACTTACATCAGTTTCTGGAAAGGTCTTCAAGACTGGGAGCTGTTCTTCCCCGCTGGCAATCGACTCGGGCGCTGACACCTCCTGACTGTCACGTCTCAAGCGCGTAGGAATTGGCAAAGAGGCTCTCTCCTGACTTGTCGATTTCTCTGACTGAAATTGGGCGCAAGAGAAGATGTACCGACCTGAAGGTTGAAGTCTGTTTATTACATCAACTGTAATGTGAGAGGAGAGGGCTATCCAGTGGGCTAATCTACAAAATAAAGACACGCAAGCTGACAACAAACATAGCGAGAGACCTGATGGCTAGTTTAAAATATCCTCCATGCTTCAAGCCCAACTAACTACGCAGTCGCTTGTATTGAGCAGGTTACCAATTAAAGCGCTATTATAGACATGTACACAAAGATACCAACTTTGAAACTGATGAGAACCAGCAACAAAAACGATATTTCACTAACCGATTTTTTGGGTAAGGCCCTAGATACATCGAAACCTCCTCTTGGTTCGATTTCATCAATTCCACATCACTTTCGGACATGGGTTGATCCTCAAACTCCTCTAGTTCTTTGACCCATCGCTTCCGGATGACACAAGGCTTAGTTAAGTCGAGGAAGATGCTGCAACGCAGTCCAGAGACGCTGTGTCCTCCAGCTTCGTCGGTGGCTGCACTGAAAAAGAGATAGTGCACACCAAGGGGGATATCGCGAATTCCACGAAAATTGCATCCAACCCTCCAAACGTTTGCGTCTAGTCCAATAACGGTGCCGGAGGGAACATCAGAGAGAAGGAGCCAGCATACGGCATCATCATTTTTTCCATCATTCACGGTCATTTAGATTCCTAGGACGCAAAATGAATAAAGAGGGCATAGAAGGCTATTTGCATAACCAGACTTCAAGAAATGCGCTGGATTTCCACAACGGCTATTCTTGTATAAAACGGATTGATATAAGGTATGCTAATCGCAGATAAAAAAACCGCTCTGAAATTCTAATGGACGACGACGATTGAAAAGATGTAAGGGATAATTGTGTCGGAGAGTTCCTAGAGTCAGATACAAATTGACGTTGACAAAATAGGATAGGTCAATTGCAGTCGTTTCCGTTTGCAGAAAATCGACCCTAAGATTGTTACTGAGACAGCAGGGATCGAACAATTATGGTTTTGTTGCCTTTTTAATCGCTTTACAAAAACATTAATCAACATTGACACGCCCAGTTTTTAATTTTACCAGAGCTACAACGGTACTGGCCAAGGTAGAGCACTTCTCAGCTTCAGGATCCACAACAGCATGACGCTACCCCTAGTCTTAACTTCTGAATGACACATAATATTTGTTGGCCAAAAAAGGAAATATGCACATGCCATAACGAGATCTAGACTTTTACCAGTTTTTTTATGCATATTTAGCTAGATATTTTGTTTAAAGACATTTTCGTACCCGGTCTTGACAATCTCTTTTTAGTAGAGGTTTGTTCCGAACCTCTGTAGGACACCTTATATAACCGTACAGTGAGATGCGCAATGGTGAATTTAGGGATAGTTTCGTTAATTTAATGGTTATACCAATCAACCTATCACACGGTCTAAGACATACCACAAACTCTCTCAATGTCCGCCTACGCCTTTACCGCTAGAATGTAAATAGGTGCAGTGGGGATAGATAGGAGTATTTTGATAAAAAATTCAAGCAGTAAAAAAATGCGCGAACCAGAAAACAACGCTGCGATTGGCCTGTATTTGGCTATAGGTTTCAGCGCTTCCTTTCTAGTGAATTAAAAGCTTCCAATTCTTTTATGTAAAAACAATTGCTAAATGTAAGCTATTAACTATGTGAATTTAGTAAAGAGAAAAACTTGCAAACACATAAAAACTTATTTTTTGAATGCTTATTGTGGCATCTCTAATAAATGTTTCTTCCTTAAATATATCCATGAATTTGCTTTTTTCTGTGTCCATTTATTTGTATCAACAGTTTCGAACAATGTGGAGGTATTATGCATTAGCAGTATGCCCTTCAATTTTTTTTGAGAATCCTATTAAAATTCTCAATTCTGTCAGTTTATTGCATGTTCTTATAGGTCTTTTTTTAAGGTTTACTTGCAGCATGACTCACGAATAAAAACTTTAAATTTGTTTAATGTTTTTATATGAAATGAATCTATTTATTAGGTGGACAGATATCTGAATTCTATATTTCAACTTTTGATGCCAAAAATCCAGCGTTGAATGATAATGCAATTAATGCTAAATAAGTTTTTTTGACTTTTAACCGTGTGCAAATTAAGATAACATGTTATCATTAAACACATTTCCCGTAAAAGCATGAAAATCAGATATCTAATTTATGGTATTTTTTTTAAATTACTTTACTTTTTTCGAAAATGTAAAGGTTATTTTTTTTTACCATAGCAGACCAAGACTAAATGTCATATTTTTCCTGGCATATTCAAATATTTCTGGTCAATTTGACGAAAAATTTTTTCTTACTATTTTAACGTCACACCCTTTTTCTAATATTAACCGCTTTCGTAAATATAACGAGACCGGAACTCAATGAGTTGCGATCTCTTCTGTAGTTATTGTCGTGTTATCTTGATTAATTTTACCATGGAAAAATTTCAGGAAGTCCGGCTAGATCATTTCACGGCCTAGTTCATTCAAACGAGCTTCAAACTCTCAATTCTTTTTCCTTGCTGGACTATCACCTTCTTTTATTGCGCCATTGAAAAATTTGAATATTTTATTATTTGTTAAGAATCTGGTGCAATTCAATCCTAGATTTTATCAGGTATTGCTGAATAAGGAGCCATCATCATAGCCGTTTTTGTTTGAGCTTATTGCAGGCATTACACGTTTCTTTAGCATTAGCAATTTATTTTGACACAAACTCTTTCAATTCGCCTAAATTGATTATTGGAAACCTTTATCCAATGAGATAATTGGATTTTTCTTTCCCATGAGTCACTTTTTACGATTTTCCGGCTTAGTCGCTGTAAATCCCCGAGGCTAAAATTTGCTGCCTCTTGTTTGCCACGTTTGAGGTATCCCGGAACATGACAATACTGTGGCTCTTGTGAAGAGCTGTACTGCCTCAGCCAAGATTAGGAGCAGGACGGACACGTCTGCACTTAGCATGCGAAACAGTGTTGCAGGCCTTAAATCCGTTTGGTTTGTAGGTGCCAAATGTGTGTGTGTGATGGAGGGGGTGTGTGCGTGAATTGTCACTCATTTCACTTGATAAGGTGATGCAAATCCCAGAGCTAATAATAGAAAACTCCAGAAAAAGGGAGGACTACATATTGTACGGAGGACTGTTATTTCAACCAAAGTTTTGGTGTTAAAATAGGGCCAAACTTGGAAGTCGGATATTAGGCCGAGTGGATGTTTGGATATGCCCACTTAGTCTAATAGTGTTAATAGTCTACTTCTTTTATTAATAGTATCTCAGTTTTTTAATGTTATTTTTCCACTTTTCACTCAATTTCCTCTTATGCTCATTACGATTTGAGGCGAGACCCTTTCAGAGGTTACTTCAGCACTAACTTTGCAAACTCTAGGTTAATCTGATGCTGTTCAGGTTATGTAACTGGTGATTGGTTAGTTGGTGACCTTGACATCGACCATTCGGTTAAATGGATTGTTAGTTTTGGTTAACTCGCTAATTACTTTTATGTAACTGTCCGATTTTGTTCTACGTGAATTTAAATTGCCATTTTTAAATAAATTTGCAGACCAACTTTGAAAGTGGGACCCCACTGGCAAAATGAGAAACAAGTCGACACAAACGGTACTATTCAAGGCGCGCTGGACTGATTGGAGGACTTGGAAACCACCCACTGCGTTTAAACGCGTAACTTTTTGCCCAGGACTCTTCCCTACTCCTCTATTAGTAAATCATTGTTTATTCATCAGCGCTTCCGTGCAGCCGTTACTTTTTAATCATAGTAGATGAGGGTCACCCCGTCTTCTCCATGCATTATTAATTGTCAGATTGGTTAAAAAATATGGCCTTCCTCGAAAAAAATAACTGTTGGTATTTGGTGGCCAGTTCGTTGCAAAATTCATGTGTCGATCTTTACTGGAAATATCGATTTTGAAGTGAGTCAATTCACTTAGTCAATTAATCGATTGACTTTCATTCCCACGATGAAATTCTCTGAAGAACGTTCATTTGATTGACTTTTGATTTCGAGTAAAAATCCTCGTGTTTGAATAAGCTGTTTCTAAAACCCGGCTAAAACAAACTCCCGTCGCTTTGGTGACTTAGAGCGCTAATTTTGCTGGAACACCATTTGGTGGTTTCTCGATGTTTAATTTTCCAAAAAAAGGCTATTTTTGTTAATATCCGACCAAAATATGTCAGGTAGTTATTGAGAATCAGCTAAAATTGTCTAATTTAAGCATTTGCTTATTTGTGTTTCCCAAGGCAGCTTTCTAGTTGGTTGGTTGATTTACCGGAAAAATGATTTGGTCTAAGCCAATTGCAAAACCCTTAATTTTCAAGTGACTTATTATCCAATCAATTCGCTCAGTCGATTATTGACTTTGGCGTTCTTTTGGCATAAACGAGCAGACATGTTATTTAAAAAATAATTTAAAAATTTGCTTAAAATTATGAATGATCAGAAATTCAAAAACCATTAAACTCGATTCTACAACGCCTTGTGCAGGCGTACGGTCACGAGTGCAGGTTAGGCGTTATTGACCAAGTGGGATCGCAGTCACTGACCAGTAAGACGTCCTTCATCGATTTCTTACGCAATTGGTTAGGTAAAAAGGTTATGTCGTCGGCAATTCACGATCTACACCGACCACAAACCGCTGACCTTTGCCAACCGTTGGGGCTCGGATCGGTTATCATTAAGAGAAGCCAGACACTTGGATAAAATTTTACAGTTTTCAGCCGACACTCAACTCGTCAAGGGTGAGGACAATACGGTAGCCGACGCACTATCTCGTTCGCACATTGGCGTTGTAAATACAGGTACGCATGTGAATTTCGAGGAAATGGAAATCGCCCAGCAATCTGATGAGGAATTGCAAGGGTTCCGAAGACAAAACACAGCCTTAAAGCTGGTTGAAGCTCCCCTTCCTTCCTCCACACGTACAATCGTCTGCGACATTTCAACAGGTGTGCAACGTCCTTTCGTACCTAAGACAATGCGCCGCCAAGTGTTCCAAGCCCTTCATGGCCTTTCTCATCCTGGCCAACGAGCAACACGAAAACTGATCTCAAGTCGTTATGTTTGGCCTGCTATGAATCGCGATGTTACGCAGTAGGCTAGAAATTGCGCAAGCTGACAAGTATCCAAGGTGAACAAACACAGCAAGACTCCTCTTGGACGCTTTAACGTTCCCGACGCTAGGTTCGATCACGTGCACATTGACATTGTTGGGCCCTTACCACATTCTAAAGGTTTCCGCTATCTTTTGACTTGTGTTGACCGTTTCACCCGATGGCAAGATGCTTTCCCAATGCAAGACATCTCCGCCGAAACCATCGCAAAAACGTTCGTGGACAAATGGACCGCATTATTCGGAGTTCCCTTTACTATCACCACCGATCGAGGAACTCAGTTTGAGTCAAGCCTGTTCCAAAACCTCACACGACTTTCGGGGACGAACCGTATTCGAACGACGGCCTACCGCCCACAATCAAATGGCATGGTAGAACGTTTTCATCGACAACTGAAGGCAGCTTTAACAGCACACAGTGACCCGTGCCGTTGGACGAACGCGTTACCCCTCGTATTACTCGGACTCCGATCAGCCGTCAAGGAAGATTTAAAGTGTTCCTCTGCTGAAATGGTTTTCGGAACAACATTAAGACTACCTGGGGAGTTTTTCACTGCGACTTCACAACCAACATGGCCAGACCCATGCGACTACGTCGAGCGATTACGGGAGACTATGAACAAGCTGGAAGTTACACAGCCGCACTTACGATCCACTATTTCGTTCACCCCGCAAGAGTTGACTGCATGCACCCACGTATTCATCAGACGAGATGCAGTTCGTCAACCACTTCAGCCCATCTACGATGGACCTTTCAGAGTGCTCAGACGAGAAGAAAGCGTTTTCGTCGTCGACCACAATGGGAAAGAAGACGCCGTGTCTGTCGACCGACTCAAGCCAGCCTTCCTCGACATGGAGACCTCGCCAAACAATAAGCCTCAATTTCAACCAAATCCCGTTTCTCTCGACAATAAGAAGGCTGTAACCACGACACGCTCCGGCAGACGAGTTGATTGGCCCGATCGATATTCAGCTTGAAAGGAAGACAACCGCAGGCCAGATACCATACTGTCAGTCGCGCGTGGCGTGCCGTACTTCTCGATCCCAATTTTTTTAAAGTTTGTCAGGTCCTTCGACGGAGAGATCACAATCGCACGAAAACTGCGGCCTATCTTCCAAAACCTCAGTGGATGACCAATTCCGCCTAATCCTCTCGCTAAGGTGGAGAACTGTTGTGAATCGTGCTTGTTCAACTTATTAATCCGATCGATTTGCCTCCGATACAAGGCTCCCCTTCTCGTAGCATGGCGACAGCCGCGCAAATCCTCAACTCCCCCTTTCATTCACACGTATATGTATCTTGGATTAACCTCACACCTAGGTCTCGATGTTAGCACAGTTATGATTCACACACCCGAGCTATACATACACATGCACAAACCCACCAAACCACAACTTCGTCAAGACCTCGAATAAACGGTTGACTTTCTGTCCTTCCACCGACTTCGTCTTTGTCGGGTAACTCGTGATTTTAGGCATTCCCAACAGTTAAATGATAAAGCACAATGTGTTTCAGCAGAAAACTAATCATGAAAAAACTTGATGTAGAGATGGTTGCGATTAGGAGAGAGTGGGTACAGAATGTTTTAGAATTCCTTCATGCTGAAAATGCGATTTCGTACATCGTTCAAAAAAAACCCACCTGTCGTGTTTTTCATTGGCCCGAATCAAGGTCAATGATTGGAATCAAAACAAGGTCAGTCCATCGTTAATGGCCTCTGCTAAAAAAGAACACTAAACGAGGATCTGAAAGTGTTTGTTGCCAATCTTGATGAAATGCTGACTGCTGTTGTATCGGATTTGTATGAGCTCATCTTGATTATTTTTATGTACCTAAGGCACCAAAAGAACCAATCACTTTTCAGCTAACGGGTCAGTCTTTGCATAAATCTGAATGCCACTAGTGTCTCCAGGATCATCGTAGTACTGCGAAAAATAAGACGGTGAATAATCAAGAAATTGGCTTTGCGTGTGTGTGTGTGTGTGTGCGTGAATTAGAGGACGCTGAAGTCAAAGCAAGTAGCATATTGAATTCAGTCTACGGCACACGGGCACGTCATCCCTGTATTCTAGCTCATGTCGGGGACGAGAAAATTGTATTCAGCAAATTGGTTTCTTAGTGGTTACTTCATTGCACCATTTGCTCTGTCTTCATGGTCTCAACTAATACGCCTTCAAGTGACTCCCTGTTTCACAAAAAAAACAATCAAACTTACACCAAATAGCTGATGATATTGCGCAGTTATCACACGCACAATCAAGCCAGCTGTTTTTGCATGAACAGAGGCGTCTACGCTGTCATCCGGTTGATATTTTGACGCAAATTGCAGTCAAGTCGTGTTTCTATTTGCGTAATCACTTTATGACTTGTCATAGGCGTTCGATGTGTGTGCAGTCAATTGAGGTTATCATCGAGTCTGCATTCAACATTCCAGAGGGGTAAGATTCTCCACGAATCAAACCTGATTGTAAATTGTCTTCATTTTTGGGCTTCTCCACGGTTTAAAGAACATTCAAAATTGGGATTCGAAGCTGGCACAAATGGCCTGTCTTTTTTCACCGAGAACTAAGAAGGCACCAAAAATTCACCGTTTTGCGTGCTTCCATCAATCAATAAGGGCGCCTGGTGTTGCCAAGCGGAAAATTTTGAAGCAAATTGTCAGTTTTGTTTTACGTTATCAATTTATGATTTCTTATAAATCCATCACAAAGGCGTTTTAACGAATCGATTCCAGCACTCAAACACACATGGCATACGATGCTGTTCTGCTGCGTCACAATTGATATTTCAACACCACAATGTCCAATAATCAATAGAGAACCAGGGAACAAAAATGTGTCCCACTAGGGTGTCTGGTGGGTATGCAAATGTCGTCTGAACTAGGGCTAGTCCCAGGAGGGTCGTGCACATTGATGGAGAGAGCTGCGCTTAGTCTAGGTGATTCACAACCGATTCCCATGGTGACTCACCCCCTCCCCTCCCGTACTCCCTGCTGAGTCGCCAGAAGCCCATCTTAGTTTCAACCTTGACCTCAGATGCTTAAATGTCACGAACACCGTCAACCCGTCATGTTAATGTGGCGTGACCAATAATATCACGCGCACAACACCACACACGACAGCAACCTCAGCGGCCGAATCGGATGACTTGGGCCCTTCTGATCGTACGATTTTGCAATAGAACCGTATTGCATATTTTCAGAGAATCCCGCCTTTCTAGGAAATTGAAAAATGGGCTTTTTGCAGACTCAATTTCATAGCGTTCCCGTCTGGTTACACACACGCACCTACCTCAATATTTTTGGCTACTGATTCATTCGTAATTTCGTTAATTCACTCTACGACCTCGATACCTGTCATAGGTGTATTTAAAAATGCAGTTACATTGGTGTCAGGGAAGCCGATTCTTAATTAAACCATAACTCTTAGCTTTTCCTCGGTTCAAACCCAAATACTAAGAAGGTACCAGAATGACAAAATCCTCTCATTCGACGCCCACATTTGAGGAATTCGTCTGACGTGGAGAGAAATAACCCAGCGATTGTCTTAGCCCTCAACAGATATCGTGTGAGATTGGTGTTTAGGCAATTCATCACGCATTATTTGATTGCTTCATCTGATCTCCTGGGTTCTAATCGCTTACCGTGACATTCCACACACATACACAGAGAGAGAGACCCGGCAACGCTGCAATGACGTCACACGCGTTCAGGCCAACATCACGGCTTAACAACATGACCCGCCATGAGTCATCGGTGTGGAGGCATACCTCATGGTTTCACAATCAACCATTTCAAACTGGCCTAACACCGGTGTGACAGGTTACGACACATTTTGAGCAACGTGGTCGCACAAATTCTCCCACGGGCGTGCATGTGTGCAACGCGAATCCACCGCCTGGCTCGACTTCATGACCGCTGCCTCGATTTCAGTGGCTGAGTCGGCACTCAAAGTGGAGCATGTTGCCCACTTCACCCTTCTTGGTTGTGAAGGTAAAAATACCAATTCAAGTGTCATTACTAGACCTTCAGTGTGTTGTAGCCAAATTTCCATCAACAGGCTGCTTGACTCGCTTCAAAAACACACGCACACACACACACACACACTAATTTCTCCAATTTTTTTCAGCAAACACGTTGATTGTAAAGGGTTACTCACTTATCGTAACGTCTCAAAGTCCACCTGCTCGTGTCACGATCACTGCTCACACAACTCACGAACGCTCTTCATTGGCTACGAGTTGCTTGCGCATGATGTTGATTATTGATTTTGTGTGCGTCGGCTCTGACTGCACAGCCCACACACACACACACACTCACGCCAGTCAACTAAACAAACTCCAATTTCTGTCCCGTGGTGTTGTTTTGCACACTGTCCCTCGTGTTTCTGAGTTCTGTGAATGTCTAACGAAAGAACAATTACAAATTGTCTGCATTGGACAGAAGGGAGTGCGTAAGACCAGGGACACAGTTACATTCCCAATGCAGACAAGCCCCAACCAGCCCTAGTCGCGTTTTTGTCTTCACAACGCGTTAACGCATCTTGTGGGGACATCGGCTGCACCGCACCCTCGTCATCATTCGAGGGATTTGCATATTTCACCACATCTGCCAATAGACGTCCAGTTATCTGTGACCTCAATTCCGCACATGACTCATCACAACCATCATCATCACTGCGGTTGGTGCACTTGTTTGCAGCTGCGTGCAAATATTGTCGACAAAGCAGCATTCGTGTCTTGGAAGCACCGCGACAGACTATTGATCGGTCGTATTTAGGCGCGACGCCATTCACAAAACCCTCAGCACCGCTACATGCAGGTACGACGGGCGCACGACGCATCGATTTTCACTCGCGCGACCACGTCGAGTACACAATTGGAAAATTACCTACGATGCGCATCTGACTTAACAAATGCATGATTTTTTGGTTAGACGTACAATTCTCAACTTCACAAATAGTTTCGACGTTGTTGTTGTTGATGGTGATGTTGTTGTCTGTTTGGAAGTAGGTTTTAACTAGGAAAACACACAATTAAGCTATCAGTCGTGGATTATTCGTGTCTGTCACTTGTTGGAAAAGCTTTTCAATGCAAAATAACAATCTGAGATCGGCAAATATCTGACAGACAAGTCATTCAAATTAGCACTGGTGGTAGGGTGTGTTCAGATGAATTACTTTGACAGGCACTTGTTGATTACCCAGCAATCAAACTTTCTACCACTTTGGTATCTGCCAGTGGATGTGAGGATTACTGGATACTGGCCGACAGTTTACTTCTGCCTCATCCGGCTACACAATTTTGACTAATTCGATTACTACAATCAGTGTCCGCTTATAGTGGTCGATGTTCCCGTGTTATTACAGGCGCCGGCTGTAACCGGATGTGAGTCGAGTTCAGGTTAACGGTCACACGACCAAATATCGACCCGTGTAAATGCATCAAGCCGCTTAAACGAGGTGTCACAAATCACGCTCATTGCAACATCGAAATTCGACGTTGTTGTGTGAATTCAAACGCGTTCCACACCTGGGACACATTTTGACTGGTCGCATCGATTCCACTTTGTTCGAGTAGTTGTTGTCACCCCTCTACATTCTATGCACCCACAATCCTTCCGTTCACCATTGGCATCTCAGATTGGAGTGCGATTTCAGGTCAACGTCAGTCGTCATTGTTAATGTTTGGCCGCAAAATCTAGGTGATATGGACACGTTCAACGTTGTATCACAATCGACCCCAAACGATGCACGACTTGCCAAGCATGCTCGTGGACATGTCTTCTCTCCCAGGGTCATGGATGAATTGGCAAATCTAGACTGCCTTTCTTGCTCGTACACACCTGAACTGTTCGCATGTTTCCCTTGAAGCCACTCAGGATTCACAGGTTTCTTGTTTCAATTCCACACATCCTCAGAGCAGATTCCTTCTCATGCACCTCACCAGCTCTCCATGTGATTCCTGCTGGTTCATCTCACACCAGCATCATTCCCCTGTTCACGTGGTGTAATTGTTGACTACCATTTCCCTACAACCGTTTGTGATGTATCATCACACAAAGTGACATATCGCAAGTTGTGATTAGCTGGGTTCAGCTCCGTGACTGGGTTCAGTCGTTTGCACGCGATTCGCAGTTGTGCCACGCACCTCACCTCATATCTTCTTCCCAGCGTTATACCTAGAACCTATTCAGGTGGAGGTTCAACTTGTTGTCAACGCGTTCAGTTAGTCAACCTGATCCACAATGTTGTAAGCCCCTTTCCGACACCACGGGTAAGCCTGACACAATGCCCTTCGTGCCTCTTTCTTCCTGAACATTGCACAACTCATTTGTGAACAGCTAATCCACTTGCAGTATTTAGTGAAAAATCTCCAAGTGTTTTTATTGGACACCCAAAGTTGATCTGTGAGGAATTTCATTGGTCATTGCCAGATATGCGCACGCCTCACAGCCCGCAGAAAATAAGCAACGCCAACCTCGTGAAAATATCGATTTTCGGACTTAACGAGATACGGTCAAATCAACAAGATTTAACCCATTAAGCAACAAGTTCCTCCTGTTAGTCAGTGCCCTACAGCGAGAACATGTGTGTGCCACTCCACTTCGGCATCTTCACCAAGGTTACAAAAAAGATTCCCGGATTACACAAATCCGCTGTCGATTGGCTCAGGCATGGCGTATTTTTTAGTCTCGCATTCTTTCGCGCGGTTACCGAATCGACGTCCTTCTATTTTAATCGACAAGGTATTGTGGTAGCTTGCCAAGTTGTACCGCAAAACTGCACTCCAGTATCGGCAATGAGACACAGAAAATAATGTTGAAATTGGCGTGCTAGTTTGAATATCTGTTCAACTGGCTTTTGTGGCCCAATCAGCTCATCATAATCGTCGTAGGGATTCAACCAATCATCGTAGCCGTTGACTTGTCAACTTGAAATAAAGTCTAAAATATGTTGAAAGTGTAATTTTTTTTCAAAAGTCGAGCTGCTAACAAGCATCCACTTGAATTGCTATGCATATGAAGTGTTAGTTAACTGAAAAAAATTCTTTTATAGAAAAACTAATAAAAATAACCTAATTTTCGAACTAATAGTTGGTGAAATGTATGAGGTATTACTTGAGGGGACACTGACTGCAGTCTGGTCTTGATGTTATTGACAAACGTGATCGATTTACTTCATTCTCAACTCAACTTAAACTTCGACGTTCTTTTGTGGGCTTCGAAAGTTTGTTTGCCTGAAAGTAATGCGGTTTTTCTTTGATTTTGGAGGTAATTATTAAGAAACGAGAAACATATACGAGGTCTCTCGTGGCAAATTGAAGTAGGAGCAGCATTGTGCATGTTTACTGGTCTCCTTCTATCTCTCTCCCTCTCAACTACCTAGCAAACAAAGTTTTCTCAGTTCGGCATTCCTTTTGTTTCCTAAATTGCGATCACGCAAATACTGCCTTTCGGTGAAACAAGAATCATTTAAAACCCCCATAACACCGTGAGGTAAATGTGTGGTAATTTAATTGATTTTCTTTTAATGTGGTGTGGCACAGTTAGCAGATATAACTTTTTTCAGACGGCAGATAAACAACGTCGCCATCCAAATGCACGTGTACAAGAACGTAACCAGGACAAATTTTGTGATTAATGAAAGCGGTTTTAGCCGGTCACATTCACACGTCGGCTGCGTTGCCGGTACTGCAACTTCACATGAAATCCGTTTTTTCGCTCGTTCCGTTTGACAAACGTTCGTATTAATCTTGATTTCTTATTTGCAATAGAATAATTTTTTTCCATAAAGCGTCTTGATTTATTGATTCACCTATCAGCCAATCAGCGTTTTGGAAACATGTCAATTAATGCATAATTCTTAACCGAAGGTGGAAAGGTTTTCTAGCACTGGCTGCTTAATTGAACTGGACAGATTTGGATATGCCCGTCAAAATTTTGCTTTTAATGACACGGATTTTGTGACAGAAGGAAGCAAACAAATGACGATGGCATCGCACTCACCAACTGGAGGAAATTCTGCGCATTCCGTCTACAAAATCACTCGAATTTGTGCTGTTGGAAATTGCGATTATGCAAATAGGCGCGCGGCAAGTGGTTAGCATATGAACGCATTTCGGCGTATCTAACGCAATTCCCACCTGCAATGCAGTAAAGGAAGTAGTTTCAGAAACAGGAATAGTAATCGCCACTTAGCACTAGGGTTTGTGGTTGACACGTGTACAGTAGTTCTACACTTTCCAGGTCAGTGTGGTCACTGGTAGTTGCGACCTTGAGGATCGAAGTTGGCCCATGGTTGGTTAAAAATTGCGGCTCCCTATGATGAGCCAATAGGCAAGTTATTTGTGTAGTAATTGTGTTGTATTGTGGTCATTCACACAATTTGGGTGAGCAATAAATTACACCAAAATGGAAATACACTTGATCCCAGACACTCGAACAGAGAGGCCAAAAGGTCTTTACACTGGGAATTGCACGCTGAATTAATGGTAAAAAAATTCCAGTTTGTTTTGAAGTGTCTGACAGTCCCAAGGATCAAAATTGATTGTTGTTTATGCGCATGGAACTCTTTTAAGCACACCGTTTGGCAAAATTAATTTGCTAAATACTCTGTTTGTTTTTTCCATGCTTTGAACCAAAGGGGTAATCAAAATTCGGATAATTCGTGGAAGAAGAAAAAAAATCGATACACCACATCTAGTTATCAATTCAAGCTCAGCAGAAGAAAAGCAATAACATCAATTGTTATTGATTTTCTTCTTTATGTAGCCTTTCGTTAGAGTGACATCTTGGCCGCATGTCCCGATGCAAGCAGTTTAATTTGTGAATTTACGCTACTCCAACGATTCTCCCCCATCTCTAATTGCCGGATCCCTTATTGCTTTTATTTAAAATCATCAGGAATTATTTGTACACATTCCTGTTTAATCAAGTTGAGTCCAAATTCCAAGAACTTTTTAATCCAGCCATGTTTCGGCAATTAACTTGGCGTTTTACAGCTTGACTCCAGGTAAACTTTTATTGCGTTTGTGACCGCCAGGTGCAGCCGCAATTCGAGATTTCGGTGGAATTTACACACCTTTCTTCTGAACATGAAGAGGCTAGATTCTCAGAGCACAACTGCCACGCAAAAACAGCTACCGTTTTGACCAACAAAATCGTGATTTCCACCATGGCTTAAGTTTACTTCCTAATTCAGACGACCAAACCGGCCAGTTTAAATTGAATCTTAATTTACACCCTCAATAAATCCACCACAATTAAACCAAACTGCTTGTTTCCTATCACAAAAGAGATGCCTGAGAACCTAGCCAATCACATTTGGCGTCGCGTCTTGGCTACTCCTGCCTACGCGAAGTCTCTCGTATGCTCACGACGACGGCGCCAGTTGTGTAGTGTCCGTCCAATGAGGACACAGGTAATTACAAGGGAAGAGGTTGCAGCCGGCACAATAAGCAAAAAAACTGAGCGACTAATAATAAGGCCGAGAGACGCTGGACTAAACCAATGAGGAACAGGAAAATTGCTGAGGTTGGCAGTGATTGGCTAATTTGGTTTCATGAGTGAGGCCACGTAATCAGGTTGGATGTTTGGGTTTTATGGGAGCAGTTTACTGCCGAGAATAAATAATACCGGCTCTGTGATTGGCTCTATTCGCACGATGATTGTGCTGCGCTGATTGGGCCACAAAATCCAGTTTAACAGATATTCAAACTAGCACGCCAATTTCAACATTATTTTCTGTGTCTCATTGCCGATACTGGAGTGCAGTTTTGCGGT